AGTTACAACAGACCAAAACAGACCTAGTAAATGCTTTCTTAAAAACGAAAAGTCAGGTAGGACACTATGCTGCAGATGGAACATATGTGCCAGCTGGTGGAACTTATATACCAGCTGGTGGAACTTATATACTAGCTAGTGGAACTTATATACCACCAAACCCTCCAAGAGAAGCACCTGCACCAGGACTACCTAAAACATTTACATCGTCACATGGACACAGACACAGGCATGCACCAAAACCAACACAACAACAACAACCAGCACAACAACAACAACCAACACAACAACCAGCACCACAACAACAACCAACACAACAACCAGCACCACAACAACAACCAGCACAACAACCACCTCCACAACCAGCACAGCAACCAACAGTTCAAAACACTGCACCACAACCACAAACAGAGCAAGGACATAAAAGAAGTAGAGAACAAGGAAACCAAGAATTCTTAAAAATGCTTAAGGAAAATTATGGTTACCCAGATACTCTTGACTTTAGTGACAGATATAAAGAAGCTATTAGAAAGTTCAAGGAAGGAAATACTGACCCGAAACCTATTTAGCTTTATGGTTCAGCACCAAATGGGATATAATTTTCAAACCTGGAAAATACAAGCTCGCTAAGGGATATGATTTAATAGCATATCATCCAAATGACATGACTGAATTTACTCCGAGATATTTGGTGTCAGAGATAAATGATAATTCAACTATCTTCATGAAACGCGTAAAAAATAGACGACGGAACGAAAGAAGAAAGGGTTATGAATGCGGATGACTTAAATAGGGAACTTGTTAAAAACGGTCTCGGAATATATGAAATGCCAGCAGATGAGGTACAAGAAACTCCACAGGAAGAAGTTCAGATACAACCAGACATGGAAGAAATAGTTTCAGCAACAACAGCTAGAAGAGCCTGAAGGAAACGAACAAGTCCCTCCTTTGGAAACTAACTTCACAGAACTAGATGAAGATTTGGAACAGCCGAAAAATCTTGACCCTCAACAAGTGTATGCGGGGAATATGGAATCTTTCCAAGAGTCTAAGAAAAATTCGGCTGACATAGTAGAAGAATATCGAAAAATGTTCGCCGACATACAAAAGACTCCAACATCAGATGAAATATTCAGCATAGAATGGAAGTACTGAAAGAAAATGTACGCAAATACAACAATCCTTTTTACTTACGACCATATAACGTTCAATCTTTGGCTGAACTCGGTGAAAATAAAAGGTTAAATTTCAACAAAACATATAGAAATGAAACATTGTTTAAAGTTCATTCAGAAACCTAACCAATATGGAAACAAACCTACTTTTGTTTCTGCAGACTATGGAACTACAATGAGATGGGGTCATAAAGCTAATCGGATAGGTGGTTCATAAACTTACAACCACAATTCCAAGAAGTTGTAGACGCAATGGAAGTGAATGGTGAACCAGATATAGCTGGTATTTTCAGCGCGGCTTTAATGCCATTGAAAGATATGAAAGATGCAGATATTTTTGAACCAGTATGAAATGAACATGGCTGATGGAAATATAACACCTGACGTTCTAGAACATTTATCTCAAAGAACTACACAGAACCATAAAGATGGTATATTTGGTGAAGAGTTTAGAAAGAAAGTTAGGGAGAGAGAAGGAAGAGAACCTATTGTACATGACCTTGCAAACGAAAGTTTGCAAAATGTCATAAAATTACATTGCAGACAATGAACCGAGAAGGGATGAATATTTAAGAAAACTCAAATGGACAGTACAAATGAAATGTTAGTATTGAAAAACATGTTCCTTGACAAAATAAAACCAACTACAGAAATAAATGACGCAAGACTGAAACATTGGGTAAAAGCTTTCCCATTCACAAAAGATATTATTGGTAACATGGAAAGAAACCAGAATGGCTACAAAAACATATATTTGGAAACGAGCTTATTCCATATGGACAAGCTCTGTTTGAAGAGCTTGAACCGGAAACTCAGGAAAGAGTCATGCAAACAATAAGCGAAGACTCAAATACAAACTATGACAAAATCTTTCTAGGATATAGGTTACCTGAGATGGGCGACCAGAGCCCAAAGGCAAAAAAGGACATGGGAAATTTACAACATACTAGGTGAAATGAGGCAAAGATGCAACAACTTGAAGCAGAGGGCAAGTTACCAAAAGCGACACCAAAGAAGAAGAGTAGAACAAAGTGAAAATAGTGAAGAAGTAACTTCATCTAGTGAAAGTAGTGGCAATGAAGGAAAAAGAAAGTTAAAAACTCAGCCAGGAGAAAGTAAAGCTTGGTCACGTGGGTTCTATTATGACACATAAACCAACTATTTCTATATTTTTACCCATATGAAATGTACGCCGCTCAGAATATAACGCCAACAGTTTTTGGATGCCATGAACGGAAAATGTTTCCGAATGGTATAACGAATGCGACAATGCCATTAGAAGGTCAGAAATAGTTCCTGGAACTTACGAATATACAACTGCTGTTTCTTATGGAAACGTAGGTGAGTTTGGAGAAGGTTCTTCAACAACAGTAGATATTGCTTGCGACAGGTTTCACATTATTTCTATTGACAACTCATTCTTATACGTGGAACAAGACATTGAAATAAAACCTTCTGCAAGTTGTCTGACAAGAAAGGTTGCAATGGAATTTTCTATGTCGGATACCAATATGCTCCAGAAGTTTTCATGGGATATAAGATATATTCTAACTCTGACTTAGTTCAAACAGTAACATGGGCAAACTATGAATGGTTCGCTTTGAGAACTCAGTACAACCACAACTAGAGAACAAACAGACCAGTATGCAAATATTGAGAAAATAAGAAGACTTGACCCTAACGTTCCAGGATTTATGTTAACCTTTCTGGTTCAGATGGAACTGCTGCCACTAAAGTAAAACTGAAACTTAGAGTTCCTTTGGTCATCTTTCCTCATCTTTCAGGTTTTTAAGATACTTGCCAAACTGGGCAGGAAAAATTTCTATTGAACTTACTCCAAGCAAAAATAACTTAGTCATTGCACAACACAAGACCCATTCACTATTACAGACGTAGAGGGAACAAATAAAACGTCATTCGCCGAATTTTGCAAAGACAAAGTTGACTTAGACTTTGGTTTCTCAAACTTCAACAATGAAGTAAAACTATTATTTCAATGCTGCTGGAACTGCTTGGGACCAGTTAATTTACATGCGAAAAATTTGAAATGCAAGAGAATAGAAAGCAGACTTGCAGTCTATATGTTGGACCCAGATATTTCAAATGCTTTAGCTGCCAAATATATTGCAGTTCCACTTATGTTCCCTATAACCAAATATTGTCAAAGACTTTGCAGGTGAAGTTGGAAACCAAAGTGCTGACCCAGGTGCAAGAACAGATATTGCTTTAACAACTGCAATGAAACATGCAGATACTATGTTTTGTACTGTTCAAGACGAACTATAAATGACTATTCTTGTTTCTACAACCCTGGTATTAAATATCATATAAACATAGATGGCAAATATTATCCAAGAGAAGAATATTCTACAGTTGAGGATATGAGGTCATACAACTTGACATTAGATGCTATGAACTTTAACAACAACTTCACAACAACCCATTAACCTGAAATGCAAAGTTCTATTATGCCATATGTGAAAGTATGGACTCATACAGGAGGTCAAAAAACTCAATATACAAATGGAGACCGTTTCAACTTTTGGCTTGGCATTCCATTTGCTGACTCAGAAGACTTTATGGGTGGTATTTCAACTGTTGGTACTGTACAAATACAATATACTGGTGACAGAGACGGTCCAGATGAATTGAAAGCAAAGAAGTTTACAAAACCAATAGCACTTTTCACGGAAGATGCTCTTTTGAAGATTCGTTCGATGAACCTGCTGGGGCTCCTCAGATTGGCATAACGACAGCTTCCATCGAGCAGATTTTGGCAGCAGGTCAGTAAGTTGTTCTTGAACTGACTTCTCTCCGTCAAATATTGACAGTACGCCAGTTTTGACATAATATTGTATTATAAACTTTCCTTTAGAAATATCTGTAAGTTTTGAAGTTATATTTTTGTCTGCTTCAAGAACTTTCACCATTTCAGTTATACCAACTTTCTTTGCTTTATGAAAATATTTTGGTTCAGCAAAGACTGCTATTCTATAACATTTACCATTGTTTGTATAAAGAACTATTCTGTCAATGTATTTGTATTGTTTGTGTGTGTAAACTTTGTTCTGCTTCAATTCGAAGAGATACTCGAATACGTCCATCTTTTTATTCTAAGTAAAATGTCATTTCCGAAAAATAGAAGCGTAAGTGTTTCAAAAGGTTTAATGGCGGTGGCAGATGTGAAGTTAAATTCACCAACTCAAACAAACAGTCAAAGTGTTATTGTCAATGTCAAAGACAGAGATGTTGAAGTGGGGAAACCATACGAGGACGAAGATGGTATAACAATTGTTCCTGTAAAAGAACAACCAACATATCCTGAAGTTAGCAGAGACTTAAGTTCTGTTGCAGATATTCGAAACGACTACCAACAACTGAAAGACAAACTTCAAACTCAGGAGAAGATTTGTCAAGCTTTAAGTATAATGTTAAACTTGGTCGAACACAACCCTGTAAAAGTGAACTCATATGTCATTGCACCTCATGAAGTTTTGAAAGAACTATTGAAACTTTTGACAGAGGCAGACGATATAAACATCAAAGAAATAGAACCCGACGTTAGTTGCTGTGGTGTTTCATATAATGTCATTGACAAGATATACGTTATGAAAGGAGGTGAAACGTTGAACTTAAAATATAGTTTCCCAGACGTTATAAAAATATTTGACGACCACAACATTTCATTAAAATTTATTTGCTAAGTAAATGGCAGAAGACATAATGGTTTATACTATTACGACTAAAAACCCCGAGTCATATAATTCTATAACAACAAACTTACAAAGTCCTCAAGGACGATATTGTAAACTAACTTTAAACACAATGACGACTAAAGCCTGTTTTGCTCTTTTGACACCAGAAGACTTTGTTGTTGTGAATGGTAAAAAATACTCCTTTGAAGATACTTACTCAGATATACCACCAACAGGTTTTGTTGACTTATTTAATACTTTAAGTACGGGTGTAACATGTGCTGCAACTAGAGCAGGTTTCATTATGTTTGGATGTCCGACTGAGTTTACTCTAAACGATATGAGCTATAATACAAAACTTATATCTGGTTTTTACTACCAACAGTTTCCTATAACAGGAAAAGGTGTCATACAAGGAATGTCTGTTCCATTGACTTTAAGTACACCTATTTTATATATTGTTTCAAACTTAGGTTCAAAGTGTTATTCGAATGTCGACAGAAACTACTATGACCAAAAGATACTTATGCGTATAAACAACACATTCTCTGCTGGTTTGCCTATTGTTCATTCGAATGCAGAGTTTTCAGCTTTAGTAAACTCAAACACTTTAGCAAACATAAACTTAACCTTAGTTGACGCAAACTTTGTTCCTGTAAAACTTTTATGTCCTATGTATTTGTCAATGACGGCAGAAAGTTTCGAATTGGAAGATGCAACTGGTGAAAGTATTGTATTACAAGAACAACAAATGCAACAAATAGCTCAAGAACAAAGTCAAGAATAAAAAAAATATTTTTTTTATTTTTATAAAAATGTACAGAATAGATGTTTCAGATTTTTATGACTTCCAAACATTCAGAAATATGTGTCCATTTCGAGACTATAACAAAGCAGTCGAGAATTTGAAACGTTTAGTCATTTATGTCGACTCTGCCCCAGAATGTTATGTTATGAAAGAATGGGATGTAGTCTTTAACAAACCAAGAGCAACAATAGTTTCAGAACAAGAATGTAGACAGAAACTTAAGAAAATAAAAGTCGTACAAGTTGGCATGAAGATGTTAGATGCTTGGGATATCTTATTGTCAAAACTTGAAGATTTTTCAGTTCGTGGTATAAAGTTTTATACACCATCTCCAAACTTCTATTCTATCTTCACTGGATATAAATACGAACAAGTAGAATGGAAAGAAAATATTATAGAAGCTTGGTTAGACCATGTCAAAGAAATTATATGCAATGGAAACGAAAAGGTTTATGAGTATATCTTATGTTGGTTTGCAAACATCTTACAACATCCAAGTGCTAAAAATGAAACTGCTCTCATTATAATTGGAAAACAAGGAACAGGTAAGAACACATTCTTTACAGATATTTTGTGCAAACTGTTAGAAGGTTATTCGAATCCGAATATGACAAACTTAGAAAACATCTGTGGCAAGTTTAACTCCTCAATAGAGAATATGAAACTTATAGTTTGCAATGAACTTCAAAGTATAGATACAACAAAAGTTTTGAACTCAGATGCTTTGAAGAGTCTTATAACAGATAAAGTTGGAGTTGTTGAAAGAAAGTATAAAGACCAAAGAGTTTGTGAAAATGTTGCAAACTTCATTATGGTTTCAAACAATGCTGTTCCGATGAAGTTAGAAAGTTCTGACAGAAGATATGTAGTTGTCAGAACGTCAGAAGCTCATATGCAAGATACAGAATATTTTGACGCTTTGTCAGAAACTTTGACATCTGACTTTTACAACCACTTGTTCTCATATTTTATGACATTAGATATTTCAAAGTTCAATCCAAGACAAATTCCACATACCGAAGAGAGACAAACATTGTTAGAAGCAAACAAGAGTGTATATGAACTGTTCATAGATGAAACTGACTTTGAGTGTTTAGATGAAAGGTCATTGTACGATTCGTATAAACAATATTGTCAAGAATATGGTTATATGACAGCGTCTAAACGAACATTCTTGGCAAATGTCAAAAGTCTTTTAGACGTACAGAATGGTGTATATACAAAGAAAAATTTTTCTGAGTAAATTTAAAAAAAAAAATATTTTTTTATCCGATAGAAAAGATGACAAAATTCATCTCAGTAAACAAGTACATGTCAGGACTTAAAGAAGAACTAGACCCATTCACATATTTGAATGTTTACTTCTACCATTTTGAAAAGTCTTCATTCAGCAAAGTTTGGAACATCGAACCAGTTAAGTTTGCTATTGTGGACTAAAAAATGGTGCGAAATTTGAAGACTTAGACATAGAAGGTTTGTTAACAGTCAAAGAAAGTTTTGACAGAAGGTTCTCAAACCTTAAAGAAGGCAAAGCATACAAACTTGTTATACCTTATGAACCAAAGAAAGCAGACGACTATGAATATTATGAGTCTAAAGTTGTAGAAGTTCAAGGTAAATTGGGTAAAAAGCTATTAGAGTCTAAGCCAGTGTTTACTCCTAAAGAGGAAGAGAACATTGACATTGACCCAGAAATGTTCTAAAAATAAAATTTTATTTTTACATGTCATATCTCCCCTTCTCTGGAACTGGTTCTTTCTTCTCTTCTTCTACTTTCTTTTCTTTCTTTTCTCTCTTCTTCTTTTCTGGTGGAGTTATGTCAAACTTCTCAGAACCATATTTATGTAAAAGTTCTTTGTCCTTTAATAGCTCATCTATTCTGTTTTCTATTTCATCTTCAAGAACAGTGCATGTGTCTTCTTTGCATTCTAAGAAGTTTTGTTGGACTTCATCTCTCCAAGAGGCGTCATCTCTGTCAACAAGTCTGTCATTGACAAATTTTAAGACTGCTCTGCTTAATGTTTTATGGTTCTTGTCATATTCCCAGAAACAGAACTTTAGAACAAATTCACCTTTCTTGTTTACACTATGTAAGATTTTATGGTCGACAGATGTTTTGCTGTCGAAAAGCTTGTCTCGAATATAGATAGCGAAATCGCTAGACATTTTCTAAAGATAAAAATTTTAATTTTTCTAAAATATGTTAGAAAAAAAGTTTGCTGACATTGACAAGAAATTTGAGAATGTTTTAAACAAGAACAAGGTGAAATTAGAAAATGCTCAGATAAAACCCATACATGACAAGTTCTTATTTGCTCAGAATGGTATAACAGGTCTAATTGCACCACTGGGTCGGGTAAGACTTTCACTTATCTTAAAATGGCTGCACAACAACAAGAACTAGATGAGAAGAAACCCATTCTATGAGTTAGTTGTCATTTGTAGTAACTTCTGGTCAATTTGACCAAACCGTCAATTCGTTCAAAGATATTATAAAGAAGTCTAAGTTAGTATGTATAAAAGACTCTGAGTTGTTAGATTGGATAAAGAAAGTACCAAAGAAGAGTTTTGAAGTACAATGCTATAAATGAGTATATAAATTCTAAGTTTAAAGACCCAAATGAGGAAATGCAGAGAATATTAGAGAAGAAACACTTCAGAAACAAACAGAAAGAGATAGAATACATTTCGAAGAAATTGCAATCTTACGATTGGAAGACTTACCCTCATAGATGTCTTCTTATCTTAGATGATTTCGCCTCTCATCCTTTGTTAAAGAATAGAGAACAAGACATGTGTCGAATTCTTAAGAAGCTCAGACACTTTAACATTTCAGTTGTCATTTGTGTACAGACAGCCAAGAGTTTAAGTAAGGATGTAAAGAAATACTTACTGACATTATACTTTTCCCCGGATTGTCCGAAGACGATTCATGGAACTTATGAAAGAGTCCATGGCAGGTAAGTTTGACAGACATGAACTATGGGAGAAGTACAAAGTCATACAAGACCCTCATACTTCTTTCAGATTCATATCTACGCAAACAAAGTTCAAATTGTAAAAAGTCAAGCTTGAAAAATAAATGGTTCATTTACTCTGCTTGTTTGAAGTTGTCAAAATACTCTGTTATTTTTTCCTTTAACAATGGCAAATCTTCTTTGAAGGTAAGTATTGTACAACCTTTAATATCATAGTGTGTTTGAGGTAACGTATCTTGAACTATTTGTTTCACATCTTCATTTGGGGTCATTGAAATCGGTAAGTTTTTCGCGATAGAACCAATTTCTGTCAGATTTGTAAATCTTAGCAAGGTCGTAAAAGCTTTTGTTGTTTCTTCTGACTAAATGCAACATAACCATATCTCTGTCTTCTTCATTTTCCATCTCTTCAGTATAAATCATATACTTATAGTTCTTTTCCTTTCCTTTTGGTACCGAACGTGGTATTCTTTTCTGTATGTTTTTGTCTTCTTTCATCATATCTTCTCTCTGCTTTGTACAAAGTTCGTCAAGTAGCATAAGTATGTAGATTGCATAACGAGGTGAAGCCCACATTGCTATTGAACTAACTAGGAACTTATGAACATATATACCTTTTAGATGTGATGGTAAGTTTTGTCTGTCTTGGTACATCTTTTAAGTTCTACATGTTCGAACTCACTGAGGAGTTCATGAGTGCTATTTAATTCAAACATCCCTTGTGGTTTCTTAGTGTCTGGTGCAAAACATGCTGTCAAAATACTTTGCATTTGGTACATATCGTCTTTGACCGAACGAATGAGACGTAACTGTTTGTTATACTGTATGTACTCGTATTCTTCATTTATGGCTTCATGAACGATAGCAGTTGTTGTGTTCTCGGTTGTTGACATTACTGTCTTTACATACAAAATAAAAAAAATATTTTATAAAAAACTAACTTTATTTTCTGACTTTCACAAAAGACCAAAAATAAACGCTTTACATGTATTTTTCAGCAACTTCGTCAAATAATTTTATAGCTTTATCTATCTCATCTACTTCAAACGTTTCTTTACCTTTCGTGGGAGCACCATACATTTTCTCAAAAACTTCAAGCAGTTCTGTTTCAGCAGCTCTCATATCGTTAACGAACACAACCTTGACTCTATTGACTGTACTGTCATATCTTTGAGTTATATTATATGTTCTTCCTATCTTATTCTTTTTGTATTGAAGTCCTTCGGTTTCTCTGAACGATGTAAAAGTAAGCCTTCACTGCAACGTTCAGTATCGAATGAACCATATGTTATGAAGTTATATCCAACAACTGGGTCTAACCATAACAAAACATTGGTATAAGACTTTTGTCAATGAGATATGCTGTAGTTCCATAGAATCTTACCGATATCATAAGCTCAGGATTTCTTGTCAAAATTTTCTGAGTAGAAGCATTTTTAACCCAGTCCTTTGCTTTCTTTCCAGATAGTGTTAGAATGTCTGACAAAGAATATTTGTTGTATTTCTTTGAGTATCTTACGTTTAAATCACCTATTCTAACCACTTTGGTGTCATTGTCTATCTTTTTAACTGTTTCAAACTCAATGTTTGTCATTTACTGTCTTTACATACAAAATAAAAAAAATATTTTATAAAAACTAACGTTAGTTTTTTTATTTTGTATAAAAGATATGATTTCAGGGATTTTTTTTACGAAGTGTCAAAGTTCTCTTCGTCAAAAAAATACAGTTATATAATGAAATTTGGTCATTTTTTCGACCTAAATATCCTCATATGAATTTCCTCATATGTTTGCTACCCTCTGAAAAAAACCGAGGATAGAGATTCCATTCGAAAATCCGTGAAAAATTGCGACCCAGACTATTTTCGAGGGTTCGAGATTCCGTACCGACAAAGTCGTAAAAATTTGCGACCACCGGATTTATATCGGGGTTCACACCTAAAAACTGCATGAAAATCGAAAAAATGCGACGTAGGGAAAAGAAACACTGGTCGCCTAAAAACTCATGAAAATCGTGAAA